AATGTTTAGCGTTTTGCCACACTGAACGTCGTCGTACGTTGCTAGAAATGTAGTTTCCTCTGTATTGCATTCGGCGTACAATGCGAACGTGCACAATATTTGTGTTCGTTGCACGACGAAGCATCGGTACAGTGAGGTCTACGGAGATGAGAGCATTAACAATTCCACCTTTACATCGGAACTGTCCGCTAGGGTCAGATGAAGGCCAGATTGTCTGAATGATATGGTGGGCTGCTACTAGCCTCACTTTTAACCTTGTCAAATTACTAAGCATTTCAAATACGGGAGGGAAATTCAGTCCGTTAGAAAGACAGTAACAGGGCTGTTTCACTGCTTAATGCTTTCTGCGCAAGCTGTGCAGAAAAGCCCCTCGTCATTTTGCTGCAAATAAAATGCAGTTTTAATGAACTGGGTTCCTGTCGCCTGTCTGTAAATTTGTTTTGGTAAGTTTTTTTACGGATCACTTAAATACTAATCGACTATAACAATTACATACCTGGGTTGGGCCTTAACTGTGTTTTCATAAATATCTACAGTGGCACTGTAAGTTGTGCATTGCTGGCGGGTTTCATGCTTTCTAACCCGTTCATGAATTAGCAGTTCCGTTATTTCTGTTCGGCGTTGCATCTCCAGAGCATTTTCTTCACACTTCCTTACTGTTCCTTGAGTGGATCTACAGTTTAGCATTGCCGCATCATCTGTTTCTCTTTCGCTTGGTCTGAGTACGGGATCTATAAGTTTGCTATTCCTCACCGCTTCAGAGTTCATTACTCTTTCTGCTTCTCCTTTCTTTTCCGGGTCGAGGTGTCGCCGAAATCTTATTGCATTCGCATTTGCGACGCGCTCCTTATCCATATTCATCTGGAAATATCGTTGGCTTCTCTTCCTTACGCTGCTAAAAATTCTTACTCTTTCAGTATACTCAGTATCTTCTTCTTCCCGAGTTCGCATTGCCTCATTGTTCGCTTTCCGCCCCCTTCTGTGAAATCCGGTTCATTTTTCCTGCGCAATCTCATTGCTTCTGAATTCACTGCTCTCAAATCAGTTTGCAGGCGCACTTGCATTGTTTCACTGTTTGTTTCTCTTTCTTGCTCACGGTAAACTGGGTTAGCATCTCGACGAAACCTTACTGCTTCACTGTTAAGTTTTCTGTCTCTCTCTCTCTGTCTCGATAATCCGCATTGGTTTCTCGATGCAGCTGTATTGTTTCTGTGTTCAATGCTCTTTCTAGTTCTCTGTAAACTGGGTTACTTTCTCTACGCAACTGTGTCGCTTCACTTTTAATTCCCTTCCCTTCTCTCGATAATTCGGGTTCGTTTCACGGCGCCGCTGCATCGCTTCACCACTCGCTTCCCTTTCTCTCTCCCGATAGTCTGGATTCGTTTCACGCCGTAATTGCATTGCTTCCGTGTTTGTTTCTCTCTCTCTTTCCCTGCATTTTGAGACATTGTTTCTACATATTCCAATCCTTCCATTCTACTATCGCATTTGCAGGTCTTCCTTTTTGCCTGTGGCCTTAAGCGCTTCGTTGCAAGCGCATGCGCTCCGCTGTTTTTCGTGCTTCTGCTTCCCTGTAAGTAGGATCGACCCTTGCTTTATGTTTTGCAGCGGCATCTCTTGTTCTTTCGAGCTCCTAAATGTAGTCTGACCCGCTGTGCTCGATGACTGGACAACTGCAAAGGCTGAAATTTTAATATTAAAAACTGCAGTGTTGCATGTGGAAAATGTTGT